TCGGCACTCTCTCGTGAGTTGCGACGGTAGCCCTTTTCCGGGTAAGCTGTGCAGTTAAAATGATACATAAACCAGTTTTAAGAAAACAAATAAGTCATCAAGCCAGACGTCGAACACGATCGGAGTCCATAGCGCTTGGCAAAGTTCCAGTTTCGACTATGAGACGTTTGTGTCAAGTACAAACTTCCTGACACAAAAATCTACACTACCGCATGCTTCTCATTGGACGGAGGTGCCCGTCCTGTGATAGTCTGCTCATTCGAGGTGTGCATAGGGTTTTTACAGAAGCTAACTTTGATATCGAGACAGTCAAACTGAGCCCATTGCGAAGTTTGGACTAAGGTACTTTAACGCTCCGCGGTCTGATGGCTGGGCAGAAACACATACAACCCAAACGTATGTATGCTCGTGCGATGTATGGTTGCGCGCGCAACTGGTACGTGTGTGGGTACGTGGGACTGGAGCCATTGACGACACTTGTACGGTCCTGTGTCCAAATCGACCATGGTGCCACTGCAGCGGGGAGATTGTCAGTCAGTTACAAAAAATATCAGGGTACATTTGCAAATGCTGCTAACGTTTAAGTATTCTGCCGGATGAACAACATAACGTAACGCTGCTGAACTTTATAATTTAATAATACGTCTTTATTTGTGCCTTTTACCATACCCAAATGCCTAAGGGTAAAGCAGTCTGATAATGAGTGTGCTAGCAAAAATTTCATTTGGCTTTAATTAATTACGGCTTATTTAAACAAAAGGCTTGTGTTCATTGCCTAAAGGCACGGTCTGTTAATTGGGTTTTTTTCCTTTGCCGCGACATACAATAGTTAGTTTCTCCACTTCATTATATTTCCGTTAATTGTGTAAGAAGCAGTGCCCTTTCAGAATTAATCTGTATACTTAATAAAAGTGAGTTGTCAGACTGTCTGTGTCCCCGTTATCATTGCTGGCAGTCGCCGCATGCGAATCGCTGTTCACGCGTGCGTACTTTTCGCGCGCAGGCCTGTC